TTATGTTATAAAATGGTGTTGAATTGCATTTTTAGCAGCAAAATCTCACAATCGCGTAAATTCATTTATATTATTATATAAATTTCCGTGATATCTTTTTACGCGCATCCGACGCGTCCACCGCGCCGCTCGTATCGATTTGTAGATCGCCATTGAAATCGCGACACGGATATACATAGTTTCCGGCACGATTCTCGTCCAGAATAAAGTGAGAGTAAGCGCGAACGAGCGAGCGAACGCACGCTCTCCCGTCGTCTCGACTTTTTCGCACGTGCCGGATAGACACCCGATATGCAGATTATGGGAAGCCCCGCGTCTTCGGAAGGCGTAAAATTTGCAGTCGCATTCCGCACACTGCGGGGAGTGTGTTACGAGAGAGGGAGAGAGAGAGAGAAAAAGTCAGGCGACTCGAAGCTATTAAAAATTCGCTCGATATGAGTACGTGCGCGAATAGCAGCGAGAGCGTGAACGCAATTCCTATGCAACCGCACCGAAAGAGCGAGAGAGGGTTCCCCGGTGTGAAATAAAGCGACGCGATGTTATTCTCGAATGTCGCAACCGATCCTTTCATTTGAGGAAAGGAGGGGGGAGATATTTTTTGCATATGCTACAAACATGTGACGGTTTATTTCCTAAACTTGAAAACAATTGAGAACTATTCTCTTAAGTCAAATCAATGATTGAATCAGTAAAGCAGCATTTCATCGATAATCGGTGAGTAATTTTTAGCGGTAACATTTCCACTCAGCTCTTTTGTCTTCATACTGGTTTTGGCCAGTGCAAGATTCACTGCAGATCGCTGTTACGTGTCTCATAGCAGAAATATATATGTATTAGTATACATGCATTAGAGGCAGAGAATTATCGATATTCTACCCCATCGATCGTTATCGATAGTTTTTAATAGTTCTGTGATTCATAAAAAATTAAAAAATCGGTGACTATTGACCGTTTTTTTCTGTGATAATACTTTTGATTGCACTTTAAAGAATATCGTAAAGAAGAATCTAATCGGAAACATGATTTTTGATCAATCTTGTTCTTTCTTTTGAACGCGTCAATTCGCAGCTCGATTATTGTTGGCGAATATGATGAAAGAGGCGAGTTTTTCCTCAGCCAGACGATTCGGCAGCACGCTTTGAGAGCCCGATAATGTAGCACGGATCGTCATGCCTTCGAATGATCAAAGTAAGGTCGTTATGGTTCGCTGAAGTGAATTCCGAGCGATGAGAGTATTAATGGAAGTGTACAAGTAGTATTTTTAAATTACGAGAGAAGGTACTTGCGGCTTTTCTCCCTGAGAACTTTATTGCAGTTTTCCGCGACACCTCTGAAAGTCGATCGGATAATTCGGGGCCAAAATATCATCACAAAAGATGACCGACGACTTGCACCACTCGAGACGAAAAGTGTAGTCGAAATCGCCGAATCCGAGAGAATTTCTACGCCGAGTTGTCCGACGATCGCGCGACCACAGACAATCGTGATTTCAGCCGACCACGTAACGTCGTCACGCCGGTCTACGAGTGTGTCAAGGCTGATCCGGCAATCGAATCGCCGATAAGTCTCCCCGTCCGCTCGTACACATCGTCATCGCTGTATTGCTATAGGCGCACGTATGAGAAATATCGAAAAATATTTCCTCTTATTCGAAATAACGCGATCCCGAACGATTTCCGAACGTAACCGTTTCCGTTACTATTTCCGTCATTGATATTTTATATCACGTGCGCAACAATTTCCCCTGAATTTACAGCTCGACGGAGACATCGAATTCCGTCGTATTGTTATTCGTTGTTCGCCTAGGTGTCCACGGGAAACAATAAAGAAGTGTCACAATCTCCATGGGCCTATGAATTTCCAGGAAGTGAAACTTTAATCAACTTCAGCCGCCCGATATTAAATTATACATGCGTCTCGATGACAGTTCGACGGAAACAATCCGATACATAATTTCTGCAACACGGTATGTCATTTTTTAAACAAGTGTATAGATTATCTAGAAATCGTAGCACGCATCTCTTTTTATTTTTCCTTCTTTCGATTTAAAGAGAAAACGTAATGTTTTTCGCTCATTTAAAACTGGTTATTTCAAGACCTATGAAACGTAATACAAATATTTTGAATATCACATTTGAAAGGCAATTTAACTCTCTACAACTCTGGATTTGATACTTTTTGTTCCTAGATATTTGCAAAAATATATGGAAAAAAGATGATTTTTGGGGGTTTTAGGCGTTAACAGGCGTTAAGGAAGCATTTTCCGATCTATATTTATTGGAAATTTTTTATTTAGAATTAAATTCCCTACAAGATCGAAAAATCTGGCAGGAATGTTCGGAGGGCCACTCGGTATAAAATAGTACATATATTATTGATGACTGTACGCAGTTGGTCCAAAATGGGCCAAGTTTTTTCTCACGTTTTTCCCAGATGTATAGCACAGATTCCTATTAGAATACCCAAAATAAGTTGTCCCATATTAATTGAAAGAAAGAGAAGAGAGAGAGAGAAAGTTCTCCCCAATTTTTCCAATTTCATCTATTTTGACTCCTTAAATTTTCGTTTTTATTATTTAATTTATATTAATTTTTGTTTTTCGCATCAAAATAGATTGTTTTAGTAGTATTAAAATTAAATCTATAGAATTATAAGCTCAAATAAAAAGTTAATAAGTCAATATTATTAAATTCGATTTTTATTAGTCTATAGGCCATCTCTCTCTAAGAGAGAGAGAGACGCAAATTATGCTTGAAAGTGTGAAAATAGCATAAAAATTCGGATGAACTGACTTCTTACGGAAAGAAAAAAAAAAAGTAGGCGATAAAAGTTCGAAAGCCGTGCGCGCGGCAAGGAGAAAACGTATTCCCTCGTGTAATCGCGGCGGCAGAAGATATCGGCTCTCTGTAATTAATTACAGAGCGTTTTCTCAGGACTCGACGGAAAATCCCCCCTCAATCTCTGAAGGGGCACAATGGCCGACTGATCTTAATTGAGATGTTTTAATTACTCGTTTGTTCGGCGCACACGTACGCGGGTGCGAGAAACGGAGGAGCAACGTTCGGGGCCGCTGTCGTCGCGACTTCTATCACGAGGCTTCATTTTCTCGAAATGAGAAAGGAAAGTTACCGCCGCGCGCGCATTATATCTCGCAATCGATCGTACAATAGCCTGCCGATTCCCGCGTTAATTAGGGACGACCGCTTAATTGGACGTTACCGCGCGATTCTTCTTTTTCTTCTTCTTCATCAGAAGCATCGCACGTCGGGAGGAAATCTTCGCAATCTTATGCAAAATTACACCTAAATGCGAATTGTGCCCAGCGGATATTAAAAAAGAAAAGAAAAAATAAGATACGCTAAATATATATATTTTTTTTTATTTAACAAAATTGATCGTTTTAATGGTGCAACTTTCGAATTAGCACTTCCACAGGACTCGCATATTAAGTGGAATCGGTGAAAATATCATTTATTGAAACAACAAAACAGTATATCATCGATAATCGGTGAGTTTGAATGAAAATCATTGATTTTTAATGAAAACACTTCCATTTTATATTTCATTGATTTCAGCCAGTACACATTTCAATCGCTGCTGCAATTACGTGTTCAATAGCAAAATGATATATATCGAACTGCATATTGCATTTGGTGTTGCATTTCGTAAGGTAACAGGCTGAAGATCTAGAGATTTCGGCTCTCATCAGACTAAGCATGTCTTTCAAATAAAATTAAGTGGCACATAATTGAGAATATTTCGGAGAAAAATGGACAACATCTCAAGAATAATTAAGATAATAAAAAAGAATTAATTCTCTTCACTGTTTTTGTAATCAGATTTTAGCGATAGAATCACTGCTATTAACTGCTGAGACTTTCAGATTTGCTGGTCACTAGTGATTATTAACTGCTTCTCAGTGATAATTATGATAGTATTCGCCGTTGAAAAAATATATAAATTTACACACACACACACAATATAAATAATGAAAATGTGTACACACAGAAATATGCGACCAACTTATCACACACTGACTTCAATTGGCCATTTCAATGTTTTGCAACAAACCAACGACGGCGGATGTATTAAATGATTCCGACCGCTATCGCATCATCCGCGATGTTTATCTTATGAACGATCGACGTTTATAGACCCTCTATGATAACGTCGTCGCCATATAAGAGAGAAACGAGCGGTATGATCGACGGCGAGATATACAGCGGAATAAACATCCGTGCGGCATGTAAGAGCGGCCGAAAGTAGTCGCGAAGAGAGAGAGAGAGACCAGTCGATCGTTTGAAATGCGCTTAAATTAACTCGCGCAATGAGAAGCACCGTCGAGAAAGTCCTACATAACAAAAAATAGGCGAGTTGTTCTCGCGAGTGTACATACACGGCTGTGGTGGCGCGCAATTATTTTGATTGGCGGCCAATTACTCCGACGTGGCTGGTTTGCTTTAACGAAAATAAATAATTATCAAAATGAAGCTCTCGCCGTTCGTTATTATCAAAGATTGACACGCATGCAATGCTGCTAAATCATCTTTGGATTTGTTAATTATTAGCGCTGTCTTTTCTAGTTAGGTTTTGATAAGCGAACTGGACGGAGCGTAACATGAGAGAGGCGTCGCGCTGGCCATGATCAATTATTCTAGATCGTTGATGTCAGTCAGTTGAGAAAAATGGAAATTGCATATATTTACATATCCCTTCTCTTTTGGATACGCGATTAGCTAACCCGAGTGTTACACTCTTTCACTCGCCGCCGCAGTGTATAACTCGGATGTTTGTTCGATTGGCCGCCATTTTTGTTCTCTCTTTATCTCAAACGTTCTTTCTCTCCGCGTCAATATTTATACTTTCAGGTGAGCGAGACGAAATCCGTGAGATCGTACCGGCGCATCGTTGCGTGTTAATGAGAGAGCGGAACACGTGCTGCTCGTTCGTTATCGCCGGGCATAAGCACGAATTCAGTTATTAATCTCGCGCGGACTCACCTCAAAGCACGCTGCGTGGTCTTCATCTTCCTCCGTCCCGGAGTCTCGTTCGGAACACCACTGATAATTACACACGCGAACGTTACACTCGGAGTCACTTTAGCCGCAGCGAGGTCCGCCTTCACTGCAAAAGAGCGCGATGAATTAGATCAGTGGGACTCGCGGACAACTTGGTCTCTCTCCTTACTCACTCGATCTCATCCAATTCACCTTGCTCCTCTCTTCCGAATTCTCTCCCGCGTGGACGTTCTATTTGTAACTCGCCCGTTACCGTTCGTCGGAGAGAGATCGCGACGAATTCTCGGTGCTCCTGCAAAGCCAATCGGCGACTTTCGCACTTTCTCGCGCTATCGGTCGGCGTAGCGCGGAGGAGTCGCGACGCATCACCTCCGGTTCGATTCTGACTGGCACGCGGGCATCGCGCGCTCCTACGTCACGTAAACAAAGCGCGCTGTTCTCGAAAAGGAGAGAAGACGGTGCGGACATCTACCGCAGATTTTCAAATTGGACGGGATAGTAAAAAAAAGGCCTACAAATATGACGCTGTGACCTGCAATCGATCACCTCCGTTGTCGATCTTCCGAAAATCCTCGGAGCAGGTGCACCTCCTCTTCTCCCGAACGTGCGTACGTACGAAGACTGGTTTCACGACCGGCCAGACTACTTCGATAGAACGGGACGAACGGCCGCACAACGCCGAGAGAGGAGAGCGCACGCGCGCGCGCGCGTTGGATCCCGTTCTACGGAAAGAGGCTTCTTCCAGCAAGGAAGTACTGTTACTTAGACAGGGCCCAGCAGCGGGGGTCGTGCCGTCCGTGTAATTTCGATGGGAAAAAAACGAGAGAGAGAGAGAGAGAAAGTTTGTTCTCAACGAGTGCGCGGGTCCTGCGCGCGGCGTGAACTTTCGTGGCTCGTACCCCGGCCGGCGCGAGCACCGTATCGACGGATCACCGCCATAAAGGACCGTTCGCGCGAGACAGGTGGCGCCGAGGGCTTGCTTACGACAGGGTTGACACACACGCACACACACACACTATTTTGTCGGTTTTTCCCGCCCGGGTGGAGAAAGCGCGTTAGGAAGGCAGCGTCACTGGTAAATAAATCGTTGCAATAGTGCACAGGTTGGCTTTATCCCGATGGACGGCACGTCCGAGAAGGATACACGCTCTCACATGTCGAGCGCGCAGCTGTTGCGCTTGGCTCCTCTCTCTCTCTCGCTCGCTCCCTCTGACTTTCCGTCGCGGAACGATACGGAGCGTACTCACCGCTCGATGGTCGCGGCTCGACTGCACGGCCGACCACCTCCGCACCATTACCCGCCACACACGCACGCTCGTAAATGCGCGATCCCGGCGCCCCGTGGCTTCCAACAGGATGGCTGTCTCGGCGGGAATATGCTTTTCAATCTACACTGTTTTAGGAATACACGGTCCAACCAAAATTGCGACACTTTCTTTTGTAACATGTCCAATGGGAAAATAAACGAAGCTTCCTGCTGAACGGCGAAAGTTTTGCAAAACAACAACACGGTAGGGTTGCGCTGCGTACGTACGTACCTGCGCGTGTTCTCGCGTAAACACGTAAGTAGGCTGTGTGCGCGAGAGCGTGAGGTGAGCGGGTGTAACCGGTTCCACCGATTTTTTCACGAAAAGCACTCGTGACGCTTTATAAAATTCTACGTACTCTTTGTCGTCGTTGTTGGATGTATGCGGCCCGAATGAGCGCGATGTTTTGATGCTCGTCGAGAATCCGCACTTTATTCGCGTTTTTATTTCCGCGGCAACATTTTTCTCCGTCCACGAGTCTCGACGACAAAATATCTTTAGGCGCATTTTGGGTATATAGTAAAAACCGCAATTATTCAAACGTTATTATGCAAGAAGATCCGATTAAATTCTAATTCATCGCGATTTTTGCCGGTCGCATGATAAACCTTTGTTTTCCGCCGAATACTATCGACGTTTGTGCCTCGTGTCAATTGTTTCGCTTGGTTTACTATTTTTTTTTCAGCTAATTCAACGAAAGACTTGTGCACGGAACTCCGACCAATAACGGTGGCGCGATAGACTAGAGTAATACTCCGTCATCGCGGACGCGACAAGCCGTTCTGCAAAGAACAGTATCCTCTCCATTTTTGCCGCTCGATCAACTGCAATTTCGATTCCTTTACTTCTATCCGTAAACAAATCGGCTGTTGCACCACGCTGCGTAGCACAAGACGTAAATTGCGATAGGAATTTTTATATACGTGGCCACGTAATATGATTAACAAAATCGCTCCTAATGGGATTTTCAGAGTCGTTAATTAACGATGTGTCCGGAAAATTATTCGCCTGGATCTTGCGCGAAAAGCAAATTAATCCGGATGAAACACATCAGTCGCGCATCGAGAGATGACGAAATGATGTGAAATTCTGAATCAAACCGATATTAACCAAGAACAATGGAACGAGAGAGGAACGGAGGGAAGGAAGAAAAGGTGAGACGACTAGGAAATATTTTAAAGTAAACTTTTGATCGAAGGATTACGATTTTTAAAATCATTCGTCTTGTTCTGATCTACTTATTTTCTGGCTGAGTTCGATTCTGCATCACCAACGCGAGACGAGATTTATCGCCAAAATAATATTAGTTTGTCGCTATCCGTGCGTAATGCGCGCAATTGTGGACTTTTGATGCTGCACTTAATAAATTGAATCGTTACGAGTGAACACACAGAGTAAATAAAATCTATGATAGCACTCGGCAAACTTCTAAAATGAACGATAAATTGCAATATTCGACGCAAACTTTTCTCGTTGCTGCGATCTTCCTTCAAAGCGCTGAATTCAATGTACAGTTCATCCAGTTGCTGATAAAGCAGCACGCGAATGGCAAGGAGACGAAAGGATCGGATAAGGATTACCTGGTTGCCGACAAAGCCACTCTAGAAATGTACTCGGTGCATATGTGCGAGCGAAAAGTGCCTTTCCTACGTATTGCCATCCGAAGGTATGACGATTAAAACTATGCGAATAGTCGTAAAAGGAAATAAATATGAGGAGTAGACATTTTAATGTTTCTAATTGCAATCGAAGAACATATCGATCGACGAGACATGAGAACATCTATATTAGATGAATTAGAAAAGTTACGCTACGTCACTTCCTGCTGAAATTCTGCGCGGCGGCGATGACTTGGCATTTTTGCAACTCTATTTTCTGCTCCTTCAGCGTCAGAAGCTTATTCTTCAGTTCCAACTCTTTCTGCCTCACGGCCATCTCCTCCTTGTGCCGTTTCTCCTTGTTCTTCTCAGCCAGCGCGAAATTCTTTCCCATTTCTTCGAGAAACTTCTCAAACATTATCGTCAGCGTTCGCCGTTGAACCGGTGTCTCTTCGTCCCTTTCGTTGGTCGCATCGTTGGACAGCAAAGGATCCTTTTGTTGCCTGCCTCGATCGAATTTCGGCACGGCTGAAGAATACTTGACGGAACCGCTCGGCTCATTTTCCTCCAAGTATACGCGCTTCTTTTTCTCGCTAAAGATCTCGTCCAAGGCTCGCTTGTGCTCCCATTGTCCGTAATGCCTCATCCTGCCTGGCTTCTTCAGTCGTTCGCGGGACACCAGGTTCTTGTACTTGCGCTCCAGCACCCGCCACTTGTTTTCGCACTTCTGCGGGCTAAAGTAGAAACCGTTATTCTGCATCTCCAGCGATATCATTTCAAACATCTCTCGCAGACTCCTGATCTGCGTCGACTGCCCGACCATCGATCGATACTTCTTGTACTGGCTGATGAGACAAGTGGTGGCCTTACTGGTCCACAGATTCAACGTACCCACATCCGATGGTATCGCGTTCTCAAAGTTCGAAAAGCCATTCTCGTGCTCCTCCTTGGCGTAGCATCGGAGAGTCGGCTCCACCTTAACTTCCGTACGACCGTCAATCGTGTCCTCTACGAAAAAGCGACGTAACGATCGAGTGAGGTCGACTTATTCTCTAAATTTCTTCGAGGGAAACTTCAAACGAATGAGAATTCACTCTCCAAGCGTGAAAAACTCGCTGAATGGAGTGACATTTCACTTTTCACAAGAGTGAATGTTTAATTCGTTTGGAGTGATTTGAACGTTTTATATGTTTCGCACTTTACTAAAATACCTCTTTCACTTTAGCGTTGGGAGTGAACAGCATTGCGGATTCACTTTTAAGAAATATAAATTTTTATTTCAAGACTTTCTCAGTCATCTTTGTAACATGAAAAATATTTAAGGCTGTATACTCGCCTGTATACTCGCTGCAACTGTCCTTGTTCGATAACGCGAGGAAACGTATGCCGAGAATTCTTGTATACGTTCAAATGATATATTAAGCTATATATAGAAAGCTGGCTGCGCCGCGTTTACTGACATTGGACCCACTCGACGCAACATTTCAAAGGAGCGTTCGGTTCAAGCGGGATACAAAGGATTTCTTGTGTCGATTCGCGACTGTTGATGTGGAGACACACACACCTGAGAGCAAGGAAGAGTTAAAACTTCACCAAACGAAGCGAAGAAGACGGAAGGAAAGATTACTCTTTTGGAATGGAATAACTCATCGATTATCTTCAAGAAGGAAAAAAAAAAACTATCACTGGCGAGCATCATTATTGGCACGATGGAAAAATCGACGGCATTTGAAGAAGGAAAAAGTGCTTCTTCATTAGGACACAACATCCGCAACGGCCAAACGCTAAGAATTTTTTTCTCAACTTAATACACATTTATAATTTCATAGTTACACATGAAATTCACATATAAAAATATCTAAATGCGTAAAATTGTTTTATGTGTGTGCTATTTACATTAATACATATTCACACCCTTTGTATCGTTAAATTACAAATTTATCCTTTTATATGTAGAATGTCTCACTGTAAAATGTCTCACTTCAGGGAAACTACAAAACATCACATGTACAAATGGATAATTTCACACAGATAAATGTTGGTCGGAAAAAAACGGTTGCAACACTTTGGAACGAACCAAATGATTCACGCGCAGTAGATGGCCAGACAGCTGTTGAAATGGATGTATAAATTACATACGTATACGTAATTTTGATCTACCGCGCATGTTCGTGAACCCATGGTAGTTCGTTGTATCTTCTAAAAAGATATTGTTGCGACCGTTCTGTGAGCGACTCTCGGACGGACTCGATCGACAACGCGCATCGTCAACAGAGAATCACCTTACCTTTTCGTTCCGCGTTGTCAGTCATGTTTCCTACGCGCGTTGCGATCTCACCGAGCGATCCGGTCGGAGTGCCATTCGCGGACTCGCGCGGCTTTCGCAGGGGGCCGAAAACCTGGAGGAAACTAGTTCCAAACCGGTTTCCGAAACTGGTTCCGTCTTGCGGCGCGACTTCAAGTCGTTCGATCGTTTCGAACTCATTTCAGACCGGTGACGTATGTTCCAGTTAACAATGTCCTCGGGAGACGTACGCGAGGTATTGAATTGCGCGATATTTGTGCGGCATCGGTTCGGCGGTTTGTGCAAACCGCCTGTTGGGACCGCTTCGAATGGAAACTTGTCGATACAACTAGTTTTTTCAGGAGCGGACGGACCTTCGGCGAGTCGATACTTTCTAATAGAAGTTGAAACGATCGTTTGTTGACATCATCGACCGTGGTTCACACTCAAATCTGGACTTTCCGCGCGTTGTAACATCGCGTTGTTCGTCCATTCGATAAATTAATCGTCGGTTGGGTGCGCTGATCAACGAGAATAGGAAGTGATTGTCTCTCACGGTAATGTTTCAAAAGCTCCGCCGAACGTTTACAATTTACGTTCCGCGAGTCTAATATAAGTAATTTTCCGCTTATGTTCAAAGTTACATAATAAAATTTTCGTGACGCAATCGAACGAGAGCCATCCACCTGCGTTACGATGGACGGTGATTCTTCGGTATGTAAGAATACAACCGATCGAACTCTTGTTCCGCATATTGCTCGAGAGACGTTTTCTTATTAATATTATGTTACATACACTAGTTGATGGAAAATCCGATTACATCTGTAAAAGAGGTTAACTTTGGGGAACAAATAAATCTACGATGTATAATTATTTATAAGATAAATAGAAAAATTCTTTAATTTTACACTTTTCTAGATTATTATTTAACAATATCATACCTCCGAAAATATAGACTGCCGAAAAAGAAAATATATTAGCAATTATTATTAATAGAACATTCCTCTTCTTTATATTTCCATGCGTTATTAGCGACATTTCTCAAGCGCCATATACTATCGCGATCGCAGATGTAACGTAATCTCCAATCGATAATCTCCACTGATTGATTCGGCTTTACATACTATCATTGTTGAGTTGAAGAAGATTAATTTTGGGATTTCTCTCGCGTTAAAATTGCAAGATTTCTCATTAATGAAATATCGTTTTATGCCGCTTGAATGGCGCTTGCTCGAAGGAAGATGCGGAACTGCGATGCGCTTTATCTTGTGCGCGCGTTCCGGAACGCGTGTAATCTTATTCGTGCAATTGCCGCAGCAATCCATTGTTCGCAACGAATAAGGATTACGCCTCTCCCGTCGTTGTAACGCGGGCAAGGAGATAATCACGCGGCTAGCCGTGGATAATTCGGGTAATACCATCGTCTTACCGATAATTACGCGCTCCTAACGCTCCTTCGACAAGAATATTGGTTCGAAGAAAGCAACGATGCGCTCCTTTCTTTCGCACAATTATTTTATGCTGTCCTTTTTTAACGCAAACTTCACGACTTGTTAAAATTGCTCGCAAGAACAAAATAATGATTAAAAACTGGCAGACCCATACGATTCATTAAAACGCATCTTTCAGCGCATGTTTCGGTCATCGAACATGACTGCGGAAAGGCGTTACTTTTCCGTTCAAACGACCGCCAAACCGTCGCGAACCCTCGAAAATGGCAAGTTTCGATTTTTCGTCGATACGAGCGCCGCGCACAACGTTCGAGCGATCGACTCGAGCGGGAGAAAGGCGCGCGCGGAAGGAGGAGGGGTGCGCGGCGATCTCCAGTGGCGGGATCGGGGCAGATGGGAGCGCGAGACGGGCGCGTTCGCCTTGCGTTCGAGGGGTTTCGTGATATACTTTCAATTTCGTCGAGCGAGCCCGAGACCGCTTCGTCGTACTCGAGGAGGCGAACGTGCCAGTCATCGCGCGGCGGAGACGCGAATTTCGTCGTCGGGTGAAACTTCGCGACGGGAGAATGCGATCGATTTTCGCGGAACGGCTCTATATGGCGACGACAGGCCCGCAGTAGAGCCGCGCTTCCTCGGCGCGTCATCGATTTTCCGGCGGCAACGGGAGTTGAGTGAGAAGTGAGAACATATGCGCGTACGTACGCACGCACCGCGCGAAGCCCCTCGGAAGAGCAGAGTCCAACATGGCTACCGCCAACGCCGGCACCGTCGAGGCGAGCAACGTGCCGCAGTGGAAGCGCGACTTGATACAACGTCGCCGCCAGCAGAGCAAGGTCCTCGCGAGCAACGGTGCGAGCGTGAAGCTATGCAGCGCGGTGATCGGAACAGCGGACGAGCATCAGGAGTATTGCTGCCCGGTCGCCGGTACGTTGCGCGCGAACGACGGCGCGCCGTTGTTATCCTCCTCTCTCTCTTCGTCGAGGAGGCCGACCGGTGGCGCCATCGTCGCCGCCGCCGCCGACTCGACAGTCGCGCACAACATGCGTCTCGAGGCGGACCTGTCGCTCTGCTCGGACGATGCCTCCGACACGTCGGAGCGCAAACCGTCGGAATACTCGGAGGAAACGGACGGTAGGATGAGCGGCGGCGAGAACGTCGGTGAGAACGCGGCGTCGCGCGAAACGACGACGAAGGAGCTGTCCGACAGCGACAGCTCCGAGGAGTTGCAATACGGGCCGGGGATCGTGAACAAGCTCAAGAGCAAGTATCTTAACCTCACTCTGCGCGAGACGAACGGCCGCGCGTCGGTGCAGCGATTCCGGCGCGCGGCCAGCCTCGAGGACCTGCTGGATCGCGACGACGACGAGGCGGCGGCGCCCGAGAAGACCGCGAGGAAGTACGCGAAGCGGGACGAGCCCGGGCCGCCGCCCGACAGGTATCGGAACGCTTCTCGCGGCAACGAGTCGATGAAACGAGCGCGCAGCGTCGAGACTCTGATGAGGTACAACACGGCGGACGAGGCGCACCGCTCGAACGGCCTGCACCAGGAGCCGGTCAACGACCACATCATCCTCGTGGACCGCACGTCCGTGAAGATCGAGAACCGGCTCGGCGAGCCCGACCGGCCGAAGCCGATCAACAAGCCGAAGAGGATCAGGCCGGTGTTGGCGGAGACCGAACGGCCGCCGCCGGATCTAGTCAGGACCACGATGAGGATCTTCGAGGGCTCGGCGAAGAAGCTCAAGCCCAAGGGCGAAGTGGCCGCGAAGGTCGCGACCTTCAAGACCATCAATGACACGTTCAAGGCGAAGAAACCGCCGGTGCAGCCGAAGCCGTTCCTCAACGGCACCGCTCGCTCGAAGAGGATCGTTTTGCCGCACAAGCCGCCGACGGCCGAGCTGATCAGCGAGGAGGAGTATCTGCCGATCGCGGTCTCTTCGGTGGTGAGCAAGTTCGAGAAGTCGCACTCGCCGTCGCCGTCGCCCGAGCCCTACCAGAAGTTCAAGTTCTCGCCGGCGAACAGTCCGGAACTGTCCAAGTTGGAGATCGCGGTCAAGTCGCCGCCGGCCACGCCGGTGCTCTCGTCACCCAGACTGCAAAGCCCGCCTTCTCAGAAGCCACCGAGGGAGGCGGAAAGTTCGCCCGAATTTACAGCGGAACAGCCGCTGCTGTTCGAATCATCGGAACGGAAGGACGACGCGACGAGATTGACGGAGAACGCCGAGGAGGGGATCGGGCCGAGAACCATCTCGAAGAATGCTCTGGACAACATCGGCAGAGCCGGCACGACGATGCAGTTCAATTTTGGCGACAAGCCCACGTCGAACAAGAGTTATCTGCCGAAGCGAAACGGACAGAAATTCGCGGACGAACCGTATTCAGGCGACGTACCGCTGAGTATCGTGACGACGTCTGCCGACGAAAAGCCGGAGGAAAAGGAGGACGTCGAGGAGAAGCCGATTGTGCCGGAAAGTAAGCCCATCGGCGCTATTTGCAGTTTGGGCCTGATCAAACCCGTGACGAGCGCGTCGTATCCACAGAATAACAACGAGGCGAAGAGATGTCAGAAGAGTGATTTCTCGCCACCGCAGAAGCAAATCGGCATCATACGGCCATTGGTCTCCACCAAGACGCAGCAGCAACAGAATCTGAGCAATCGGGAGCTCGAGAAGAATCTGATCAACCGGGTCAAGAGCATCGAGCAGCCGACCAAGGTCGTGGTGAGCCTGAAGAGCGCCGACGAGATACAACCGGCGAAGAAGACGGCGGCCGGCGGCGGTCTCTGGGACACGAAACCGTGGAATCAGCAGAACAACACGATGGTGTTCAACTTCAGCAATCGAAAGGACGTGCCGGATTACATAGAGAATGACGGCCTCATCATCCGGAGGAAACGGGAGAAGCCGAAGGTGAGATTCGTTCAGTGAACGTTATTTTCAACAGAGTATTTACATTGAATTATGTAATACTTCTTTTCCATTCGAGAGAATTGTTTTTCGATTTTTCTCTCCGGTGAATAATTACTACAAATCAATTCGGATTTTCTCGGATGTTCAATGCTTGTTTTACATAAATGTGATACTTATATGAAGGTAATAGTCAATTATATTTCTAGTAAATACTTGCTAAGGAATAACCATTCTAGGTAAATGTTGCTTGAATGATAGCACTTTCTTCTGAAGCGCAAGGAAATTTTTTCACTACTCCTCCGCCATTTTTATCGTGAAAGAAGTCTCTCGAAATTGCATACATTTATCGAATGATCAGTCTGTGACTGAAACCGGCCTTCGGAAAGATACCGCCTTAATTCGGGCGTTGTATTATCGCGCGCGCTAAGTAAAACGTCTCCGAAATCGCGCTTTCTAAAACGCTCGAACGGTGGAGCGAGCGAGCGCTCGTTTCTTCTTCTTCTTCCAACCGTCTCGTAAAGCATCACGCATCATCGCGTCCGGTTCGCGGCGGTAAGGCGAAGTGAAACCGAAGGCGTCCGACATTCAGCGGAAAATGAGAGAAATTAGGGGCACGACGGATCGACGATTCGTTCCAGGGACTTACTTTCTCATATTAGATAATCCGGAAGCTCCGCGATAACGGAGCGACAATTATTCCCGTCGATAATCGGAGATTCTCCCTGATGTTTATAATCTGACGTGAGATGTTTAGGACGGGATTATATCAAGCGTCTAATAGTCGCTTCTCACGCGATACTCATCGCCGCCAATTCGTTCCGCATTCGACTAATTTGCACTGAGAAAAAAGAACTATAATCGCATAGGTGAAAGAATTGTAATCAAGACAAGCATTTTCTACCAAGTCTCACTGTCAGTGATAATAATAACGACCTTACATATATTTGGTTACTATTCTTTTAAATTGAAAGAAGATACACTCCGAGAAAGATATAGTGACAACTGGACGAATTTTATATGTAGAATTACAGTTGAATGAATTACTTTATAATTATTGCAACTAAATCTGAATGGTTACGATTATAATATAGTTGTCGTGAAGTATAGTTTATGCTACGTTGCACCAGATTTCGTTGCAGTAAAGCAGTTTGTGACAGGCCGGTTTTTCATCATGGTTATCGCGCCCCACTCTCGTTCATAGCATTTAGATTTATCTCGGAGGCGCTCGATCTCAGGGATGGTATTGAGCAACACGTGGGACAAACCCCATTCGAGCTAACACCATTCCTGAGCATTATGGAGATGACGGTAACCATGGAAAAGTGCATAAACCGGCTTGGTTTATGAAACTATATGCATTCAACATATATATACATACAGAGTGTCTGGTATGTTTTGCACGTGTGTTTTGCAAGCAACCACATAAAATTTTCAGTTATTAATGATTGAAAAACGGCCGTACATGGGGGTCTCTTTGATTGAAAAAAATTACATGCAAATCTTTCAATTATTAATTGAAGAATGTATGACCATTTTTTCAATCATTAATAACTCGAAATTTTGCGTGGTTCTTTGCAAAATGATACTTTTCCGCACAGCTTAACCCCTTCTATTTGCTCACGAGCAACTGTACGAAACAGACACCCTGTATAAATCTCATATAATTATCATCCTTGTATATTTGCTATATTTATGTTGTTCTCGGAATGTATAGTTGAGGCCGAAATGGCTGTAATTTTAGTAAAAGTAGTTGTTGTTGCAGCGATATCGAGCGATAGCTTTCTATTGTGATCCTTATTTCCGTCGAATCGCACGCGCGAAATAAGACTCAAGTATAGACGTCCGATAGCTTCGTCTTTCGATATCTCACTTATCGCTTGCGCTGCGTCATTAATCAGAAGCTTTATCGACGAGTTTATGCGTCATCGTTTTAAGTGTTATTTGTCATATTATTTGTCGAGGCTGAATTGTTTCCATACTTGTCGACTCTCATCACGTGGAATAGATCGCGCCTCTCCTAATCGAGCATGGACAGGTGTTCGAGTCCAGGTGTGTGTGTGTGTGTGTGTCTAAAGTTATTACACAGAGCGTCTCCATTGCGCGTGCTTTCTCTCGATTATACCACGTGCGTAAAGTGAGAAATCATATTCATATATAGTCCCGAAAAGAGTCGCATTTTAACTGTAGGAGGCAGAATTTCTGATTCTTACGAATTCAGTTCTTCCTCCGTCTGCCTCCTCTAAATTCAACGAAACATTCTTCCGCTCAGAGAATCGCATCGCAGAACGAGCGATCTCGCCGATGACAGTTGGAACGTGTCTCGCGAATAGGATCCACGTTATTCATTTATGAAATGCTGCCTTATCTAATGGGCGCGCTCGACGAACAAGTGCGTTACTACATGAAAAACGGTCACGAGAACGCTCCTTGCGAAAAGCAATTTTCATATTTTATTCACAAAATTGCATCTGCTCCATCTAATCGACGTAACGGTGCGTCTGCGAATGCCGCCGGAGCAACTCGGGCGTTGAACAAAAAGTGATCGCTTAACGAACTAGAAACTGGGACACGCGTCAAGGTGGCGCAATCTTCGTCAATTTCCGCGGTGGGGAATGCGTGTTGTTTACGCTTCTCTGTCCGGGCGAAAGAAAAGAGAGAAAAAGAAACGGGTTTTAAACTTTCCACGCGAGCGGCTGATAAAAGTGTGCAAGATACAATAAAATGCGTTGTATCGCGCAGCGGTAAGACCAACTGATAATGACTTGCGCAACGACGGCACACGTAACGCGCCGTGCAAAATCTGCGCACCCGAAGAGCGCGAAAAGATCGCCCGATGAGGAGATTCTCTCGCCGAGAGTGAATGAAGAAAGGAAACGGCGCGCGTTTGTACCTCGGAATATGTGCGACCTCGTTGATGAAATCGATAACAGGGTTTCGTTTCCTTTTTTCTCCGTTCTCTTCTTTCATATCCCGCGACGCAGCTTTAATTAATGGATGTTGTGTGGCGTTTTGTCTCGTGCATAATTATTAACGTCCAGAGGAATTGAAACAAGATCGGCGCGTGCTGCGCACACACTCGCACGTACGTCAGCTGACGATGATCATCCGGTCGAATGTTGGAGCAACGTCCTGTTTCGTTCGAAACCGCGAGATAAAACGCCACATCCTCCTGCGTTCTTCTTTCGCCGTCTTTTTTTTTTTTCCGAGAGCACGACGGACATAATTCTGCATTCCGTTTTTTTCCTCTTCCGTCCGGAAGGAAAGCGAGCGTGATGTGGCTCTTATCTGTCGCCGCGGATAAAAATCAAAAGTCGCGCTTGATAAAACTTCAATGAGGCGGGCTCTTCCAACATTGTTCGGATCTCTCGCGATGTCTTTGACATTTCTCAGCGAAAGTGTGTATTGTAATGTACGTTCTTTCTACCTGTTAATTAATTAAGCCGGAATTAGAGAAGAGGATTGGTGCTCGTTAAATTCATCTGCGAAAGTGCATTTCATCGGAGCTACTTATGTCTCCTAATTGTGTCGGAAAAAAAGCCGCGACCAAAATACCAAGATCACGTTTACATTCCATGCAAGTCTGCTTGTTTTTCTTTCGCAATGATTTGTTTTCGTTTTCTTTTTTTCCACACGCTCGCATCGAAACGCTCGCAAGACTGGAGGCGATCGTTACATTTTTTTCTCTACGATAAACCAGAATATCGATTCTGTCTCGAATAATCTTCGTGTTTGTGTATCCACGGAAGCGTTTAATCACGCGTAATTTGTGCTAATCGTAGCGAATTCAGTCGAGCACTTTCGACTCGGCTTCCACATACTCCGGCTCGTGTTTTTTTTTCCTCGCGAACGCACGTATTTCGCGAAAAAGAAAAATGCAAGCGCGATCCGATTCTCGCTTTCGATGACAGTCAGGGCATGCATTCGCTATCGTAAGTTTTGTGTAAACAGAGGTAATTCCAGATCGCGCCTCTATGAATCACCTGCCCGTTCATCGATTGGAAACGAAGAACTAACCGCGAAACGACTCCGATATCAACGTCGATTCCGATGTTTGAGTATATCACGATGAATACGTATCTATCGCGAGTATCTTTGCAAACTCACCTTTCTTTCGTTGACCAAACGATTGTACTTCATGCCGAAAATGCGTCCGGGGGACAAAACGTCCTTGACACTCTTATCCAATAATTATCACGTAACTCAACGATTATCCGTAACGGTATCACGTAACTGAATTTCCATCCTCGAAATTTGAATCGAGGTGAACTCTCTATCTGTTTATCTTTGTTTCATTGAAAGGAGCAACTTCTGGCAATAATGAAATGCATTATTTCGGTGCGTTTTCCTAGAACTTGAACTGACAAGGAAAGGAGTGAGCGCCTTACCGATTTGGATCTCTGTGGTGAATCTACAAAAAATAAATTGTGTCCGAACGTTATATCCTTCTAATTTTTTATGTTTGAATTCTCAAATATTCAGTAACGTATGTCCGATAAAAAGGAAGCAGCGCTGCGTAGCGCCTTGAAGTTGCAATAATATTGTTTCAAAGGGCGATATTTCACTTCGAACCTCATTGACTAGAGAGAACGGTCCAATAATGTTCATATATAATATAATTCAAGGTAACATTAGATGATGTTTCGCCGAATAAGTCGGCATCGATTCTACTCGATGATCTCGAGGAGTATTTCTTTCAACCTGAAACCAGTTGCTCCACTCGCGATGCTATCAACAGTCGTATATTAGTTTGCGAGATGCAATATCTCCTTTATAAAAGAGGTGATCTATAATAATTGCATTTGTGTTATCGCACGTTTCGACGGTGGATGTACCGAGCCGTTAGCTCGTTAACTAACTCCGCTTTCTTCCTCCATTTAGATCATACCCTTTCGATTTACGGCAGAGTTAAGTAATCATCCGTATAAAATAGTTGGACTGGCCACGATAAGGGGCCGATTATTATACGAGAAAATTTAATATATTGCCAACCGCGCGAATTATGCCTTACTAAGTTTTGAAAATTTCATAAATAACATATCTGAATTTTTACAATTCTTGCAACATAAAAGTTTATCTAATACAATCTAAAAGTAAAAATAATTATTTTTCTTCAAAACCATCACAAAAAAAAGTTTAGATTGATCGGTCGATCAACGATCATCGAAAAAATGGTATCCTGGAGTGCTACTTTGAGTGCTCTTAAGGGTAGTTTGCACTCACTTAGATGGCCTTAGATGAATAAAAATTTACTTTGACGACACTTGTTAACTTTTCTCTTTAATTCTATAGATTTAATTTGATCTTAAACAACATATTTTGATTTTAAAATAGCGGAAACGGAAGTACGTCAAAGTAGAAATAAATTATTAGAATTGAAATTAAGCATGTGCTATCTTTGCTACCTTAGCTACTATTACTATGTTGTAGAACTAAAGGTCATCATAGAAACTTTGATTCGATCTATCCGAAGAATCGACAATGTGATTTCACAAAACCTACATACTCAGACAAAAATACATGGCAGCTATCAAGGTGACAACTATATACGGATTTTGTATGTGGAATTAATGCGTAATAGTGTGTATTTAATAAATTATTTCAAGAGGAGGAATAGTGACGACAGCCGTCTCACTTTGCAAAGCGACTACTCAACCACGAATTTCCTGCCGACATAATTAAGCCGCGTCTTTCTGCTATCGCGGGAAACCCGCTGCTTCGCCTCGAATGCACCTTTATGGCACCTGCGTTTTTCTTCCTTGCAATTTGGGCTAATTAATTCCCGCGTGAATAAAAACCCCACCCCCGAGGCCTCTCTCGACTTGGCCTCTCGCGATGGTGAAATCTCGTCGTTCTCGATCGCGAGCGGGCGTGAAAGGGTTTCCTCTCGGTGAAATTCAAGACGCCTGACCTCGTTTGACCTTGACCGAGCTCCGCTCCATGCGAGGCTCCTCGGCGGGACCAATGCGTCCACAAGGATGATTTTTTCAAATTCGTTGATTCCACCAGTCTCGGCGCGTTCGCTTTCGCGAACGTACACTGAGAACAAAATGAAATCAACGAAAATTTGAACAAGATTTTTTCAAGATTAGAGAGAATTGCGTTTCGAGCAACCGTGTCCAATTGCAGCCTCCCGAGAAACCAGGTAGACGTTCGATCTATGATACCTGTTAAACGGCTTCAAGGTGGCTCGTTAACGGCCGAGGACTCACGGCAGAGCAAACAATGGGCAATAAAGACACATCGGCCGCTGCTTTGCGGCTAAGTTCGATTATACGGCCGGTTAAATGCGTGACTTACCAACGTCGAGCGGTTTTAACGAGAGGCAAATCGACAATACGTGATATCGGCCCCGCCGATAAGCTGCTTGACAACCGGAAAAAGTATCACAATTCCTGCTGACGACGGAGCGAGATAACTAACCGGTGATATTTTCGCGAGAAACCTCGATTGACTCAACCGAGTGAATCTAGGACGATTAATCGCGCGAATTTGGTCAAAGCGATGAAATTCGCGAAAGGTGATTCCGATTAAATGTGGAACGTCATATCGGTGTGTTTGAAATACCGTTTATCGTCGCGTTATTAAAAGGTTCAAAAGAGTATGACCGACCATGAACCGGAGGAAGGAAATGAAGCTCATTGAGTGTGGGGTAAAGCAAGTGAGGAAGTATGAGAACGGTTGGCGCATATGTGTAGTAAGTTTCTAATCATTTTCAATTAGATACGCCGACTCTCTTCAATCGATTTCTACAAGTGAGTCTGTCTGTTCGTAGAATATCGCGCCGAAATATCTTTCGCGATTAACGTACGATAATTAGGACAACGTTCGAGTGATTGTAAACATTGTTACGGACCGTGCATTGAAAAGTGGATTAAGGAAGTAACACATCTTAAAATGATGTCCCAGCAAAACACACGCACGCTGCTCCTTACTACTAGTTCACGCAATCCTTCAATGATGAAATAGGGAATCGGTTATTTTTTATGTCTTTTATAATTCCTCGCATCCTCTTAAGCTGGAACAATTAAAGACTTATTCATTTTTTGCCGGCTAAAATCAATCTGTTGCATCCGGTCGCTGCACGTGTAAAAGACGTAAGACATTGCGCGGGGAGTGCGTTCACACGCGACAACCGGTGGTCTCCTCTCGGGGGTTCAAGGTCCATCCACAGGAGTGATACCTCACCGCGACCGGAATAATGGAAAGAACCGTCCTGGGAATTTCTCATGGAGTCAGAAACCCTGCATCCAGGTTCATTGCCGCGCCTCCTCCCCCCCTTTGTATCTACATTCCTCTGCTGTCCGTTTCGAAGTCGCCGTTCGATCTTTCGGGAATCGCTTTTTACCGCGTATTCGACGACACGTCTTTTTAATTACGCGTTAATGCTCCTGCTGCTTTGTTCGATGACGTTGGAAAACGTGTACTCGAAATTCTTGCAAAATACGTTGAATTAAAAGGACCATAAAGTGTGATACTTGTCATTGATTGAGCACATTCGTAAAATATCCTGAAGGCTTTACTCCCTTTTGCTCGAAGTATTAATTCGAACACGGCTTTCACATTATGATGCCTTAAGTAGGAAAGCGGGAGGAAGATATCACTAACGCGGAGCTTAAATATCGTTCAGTGGTGAGAACGATATTTGCAGAAGCCCCGTTCACCTCGCTCTCCAACGTTTTTCAAGTTCGGCGAAATTCGAGAGGACAATCTCTGGTGTTCCCATTGGTGGGGCATAAAATTAACATGATATGCAACCTTTCGTTTATCTTTTCTCCTGTCACATTATTTATTGACTGTTAAGGCGAAAGGAAATATTTTGCAAATGTACACGATCGATCATAAATCTTATTTTCGATGCACTTGTCTTCTTTTACTCCAATATATAGGAATTTTAGACAAACGTTTCCTCGCTCCTGGCGAATTCTTTCATTATTATCTCGACAATTGAACAAGTGGGCGATCAAATTGTGATTATATTTAAAACTTACGAGAAGATACTGCGGAAGAGTCACACCTCGATGAGCAGTCGATGGACGTTTTCTTCTTCTTCTTCTTTCATTTCTGAAATAATCCTCTTATTGGTCTATTGCTCTCGCATACGAGCGTCCAACGTTATCGAACGTTATATTCCTCCGACAAAAAAAACACGTCAGTTCCTTCCTGCGACACGGCGTCACGCACACGTGAACGCGATACGGTAAATAATACATGGGAGGTAACACACACACATGCTCGTCGCTCCGACTCGGATAATCTGTTTCAATGTGCAGAGAGAAAGAGGAAGCATTGTTACACCGCCGAGCCGTGTCGCGCGCCCGTGATCGACAGCTTATTTACTTAAGTCGGTATTAGCGTTAATTTCAACTTGTCAGATTTAATCCGCCTATAATTTGTCCCGCTCGAGATTATGCGCTGTAGGTGTCGAGCGCGCAGTTTTTCTCACGATTTTTTATCCACAGTTATTACCGACATAATGAATACGGCTCATTTACGTGCTTAATCGTCCGATTAGCGCGTTTCTTTTTTTGCCCCTCCCCCCCCCCCC